AAAATTATAAACTTATTAGATTAGATAAAGTTATATAATGTAAATTAATTATAATTTTTCTTTTATATAATTCAAATATAGTCTCTATTCATCTGATTCAGACTGTGTTGCTGTGGGAGTTGGTGTGGGTGCCCTGGGAGATTTCAAGGCAGCTCATGCCTGTAAATATAAAAGACCAATTCAGTTTGACAGACAATACAGCTATCAATATAATCATAAATCAAAAGGTGTGAGATTTGTATTTTTGTGTTTCTGCCAAGGACTATAATATTATCATATGCCAAAACAATGTTGATTAAATTAATCATTACAAACACCTGCTATACAAGTAAAGTTCCACCTAAGTTTATGCCAAAAATGAATATTTTGTTTCATGCAAAATGAAGCTCAGACAAAGTTGGTACATGACTTAGCAGTGATGTCATTGTATTCTATATTTTACTTTTGTCTTGAATGCATTTCAAATTTGACTATATTGTATTCTGTATATTTTAATTCCTATACTTACCAGGATCAGGTATCCACCACATTTGATCAGTGCATGCTTAAGAGTTTCTGCTATCTGCAGCTCAACCTCAGCATCCTAGCATTTGGGGTGAATTTGGCTACACACCTCTATTGAATCATTAAAAAGTTCATTATTGCAATTTACAATATCATTGTCAAATTTAACAAAGCTAGGATTTTATTTCTAAAACAATGGAAAATTCATACATTTAAGAAAATAATAGGACTTATAAATGAGGTAATGAGGTCAAGTGTGAGATATTAAAGTACATTACCCAATACAAACTTTGTATGTCATTGATAAACAGTCTTTTTCATTGTTACTTAACTGACCCTTTCTGAATACTATTGTTTTCATTGCACAGTCTATTTACTGACTGGGCTTATTTTCACAAAGCTATGTAAAATGGATTTAAAATAATTACACCAGTAGTTTTTACCATGTTTATTGTACCAAAATAATAATTGATTAAAACTGAAAATATCCAGATGTACATACTGATAATTATTCTGTACAGTGGCAGGTCTTGGAATGTTTGCTTGTTCTACTACAGGCGGAAAGTCCTCATCTTCTTAAACATTCTTCTTACAGAATCCCCAACATTATTCCCTCCCAAGGCACTGAGGACAGCAAACTGAAAAATTATATTGCACCATTTGATCAGAAAGATGCTTGATTACATCTACAAATTGGCATACATTTGATATATCTAAACTATTTATATGCATGATAATAAATATCAATGAAGGAAATAACTATTCATTATAGGATTTAATTACCAGTTTTTTTTATTTGGCCTGGGTTTTCTGATAGCTTGGTACAGATTTGGTCAAGATCTTCCCATGTATCCATTGGTTCCTCCACCACTACTTCCACCTCTTGTGCCTGGGCTTGTGAAAACACTATCCCTTTTCGAGCAAGTTATTGGAGAAGTTCTATGTGCTTTTTTTTGGTTGGTGATGATTTCATCCAGCCTCATTAGGTCTTGTCACTGGTAATCTAAAGGAATAATGCAGAACAAGGAACAGTAGTTGCCCAATTAACATAATATGACAAAACCTTGTCAAAACATTGTACATTTGCTGTTATGTTAAACTTATATAAAGTTTTTCTTCATTATCCATTCAAGCCATCTCCAAGCATTATTATTTTTGTAAAGCTTTGAGAATTTTTCTTTAATTGGTTCCATAAGGGTTTCTTTGGTTAAAATGTTTATTTATGTTAACTTTAGTATTTTACTCACTCTCAGTGAAGCTGCCTTTTCTTCCCCCATTGGTGTGGCTACAACTAGCTGTGTCACAGATTCTAACTGAAATATATAAAAAAAACAATCATATGTTACATCAATACCATATCATTAGTACTGATAGAAATGCATATAAGTGTTATTTATTGTGGAAACCCAATTATTCAAATAATAGGAGGCCTATTTGTAGTCTAAGCATTAGGCCTAATATATGAATACAATGTAAGGCTTATCTGAAACTACTTGGTAAATTTTATTTTGCTTTTGACTACAACTCATTGTCATAAAACTTCTGAATTAAACTATTTTGCTGTTATAGCAGTGAATTTATCAAAAAAATAAAGAACAAAAACAAACCTTTCTAATAAATCAACATGAATATTGAGCATTCAACATAAACATCACTAACTATAAAAAACTTAAGTTATTCCCTCTGAGAACGCTTTCATGCTCCTTTTAAAAAAGTTTTTAGTTAGTGATTTTAAACTTTCTACAAACTCTATATGGATTTTAGGAAGCATATCTTATCATTATACATACCTTTGGATGATGAAGTATCTGGGACCGACCTCATAACCATTTTGTGCTTGTTATAGTTTTCATGCTATAACTTTAAAATTAGTAAGTGTATGTTAACGAAATTTGGCAGATTATCATTAATCGTTACAATGCTTTCATGTGCAATATATCAATTTTTTTTATTAACTCTTAAGGTTTGTAAAGCAATGTTTTTTCATGCATTTTTTTCTTTTCTCATGTTGCCTATCTAACATGCAAAGTAATTTTCATTTTAAGATTAAAAATACTTTTTTGCATCAGAAAATTTTCAAATTTCAAATGTGAAATTATAATGTCCAGATAGTTATCAAATGTTTCTTAAGAAAAAACTTTATATTTTATCTGTTATTTTTCAGTAACAAATCTCTGTACGGGTTCGGTAGATTTGACCGATCTCATAACCACCATACAAAATTAGGAAATAAA